GAGTAAAACGAACGTGCTCTTAAGAGGGTTGGCAGCAGAGGTGGTTGGTAGGCGGGGGGGGCGCCTACTACTACTACTACTACTACTACTAATACTACTACTACTACTTCTGCTACTACTACTACTACCACCACCACTAGTACTCCTCTTATTTGATGTCCGCCATTGTCCACCTACTTCTCGCTCTGCTGCTCCCGCCTTCTTACTCTATTCGGAGCCTTGCCTTTGGAATTGGCGTGGCGCGGGATCGATCCTAACCCAGCAGGCACTGCGACACAGTGACCTGTTCATCTATGCAGGGTGCTTATGCCTGCAGCGCCTCATTTACAGAAGCTGGGATCAGATGCCCAGCCAAACGAAAATTGTCTCCAGAGAGGCGTTCGGCGTTTTCTTGTTGGTGGCTGGCCGATCTCGGTCTCACTCCACCGTGTCCGGATCCAAGCCCTTCCAAGCATACCGAGTTCCAGTATGCCTGCGCCAAGCTCCCAACTGGTAAGGCTTATAGGGTTTAGGGTAAGAGCAGAAGATCCACAAAGCTCCAAATTCACAGCTCGGGAAACAAGCATCTCACCCAGAATGCCGACGAAAAAAATGTAACGCATGCGGTCCAAGTTGCAGGGCGTCGATGGCCTTCATTTCTGCGCTAGACCTGCAAGACTTCCACAAGTGCCCTACGCTGCAAGACTCGAAGAAGACTCCATAATAGCATAGCTGAGACCTGATGTTTTAAGCGCAAAGGATACATACTTCTGGGAAGCCCAAACCACATACAAATGAACATCGATGGCATTTGGATGTATTTGCCGTGGGGGTGTCGGGGGTGCGGGGCGGAATGCTGATGAAGGCTCCTAAAGACTTAACGAAGAAAGCTCTGCAAATTCCTGCAAAAGCCGTCAGAATCAAAACCTCTACTAATTGCACCCTAAGCCCTACAACGCCATCAACCCTGCAACCTCTACCGCCCTCAAACCCTAAACACTAAATCCCTAAACCCTGAATCCATAAGCACCAAACTCAACCCGTACGGCCTCTGAAGCCCTCCAATTTCCCATAGAACACGAAGCCCGAAACCAGCAACAAACCCTTACTGAAACAGAACAAAACCGCACTACAACAACTATGCAACCCTTAAGCAAATACTAATTCCTGAAGACGCTATTTATCCATCTACCTACCTATCTATCTATCGATTTACCTATCTATCCATCTACCTATCTATCTGTCTATCTATCTATCTATGTATCTGTCTACCTACCTACCTACCTACCTACCTACCTACCTCCCTGCCTGCCTGCCTACCTACCTACCTACCTATCCACAAACCTATCTATAGATAGATAGATCGGTCGATACGTAGGTTATATGTATGTGAATGTATGTATGTATGTATGTATGTATGTATGTATAATAATATGAAAGCCACTGTAGAGAATCAGCCAGAAAGCAGCTTGAAGTTGAAGACGCCCGCATTCTCCTTCATGCGCTCTGGGCGCACCGACTTGGGTACAACGTGGCCTTGGTGTGGGCTACTATACGGGTTACGATGTAGGGGTTTAGGGCTTAGGGGTTTAGGGGTTTAGGGTTTAGGGTTTAGTGCTTTATGGGGTTTAGGGTTTAGGGTTGAGGGTTTAGGGTAGTCCTATACCTACTTGTCCAGTATCCTGGGGTATTAAGGGTTAACCTTTTGGGAGTATAATGGGGTTAGATAGGATTATGTTCCCCAGAAAGGTTAAAGGTTACCGACTCTAGTATTGGGTATAAAGGGCATCATGAGGGTTACTTCCATTAAGTCTTACGAGTACTATAAAGGGTACTATAACGGGTATGGCGCGGGTTACGAGCACTATAACGGGTACTATCAGGCAATGGTTATTCGAAAGTTGGGTTACTCTAAGCAACACTGCTACGAGTATACCGTAAGGCTTACTATGAGGACATTGGGGTTTAGGGTTGAAGGGGCTTTTGGGTTGAGGCTTTAGCAAGAAGATAGTACAACACCGACAGCAAGATGACATATGCACGCCAAGCTGACACCACAGAAAAAGTAAGTAAACTTTGCTTAGCAAGGTTGCCCTGCAACGTGAAACGTATTCGCAAGATTCGTTAGCAAGATCCTCTTAAGCCCAGTCAGACGACCTTGGTTATATAAACCAACCTGTGGCCCAAAAGACCTACCTTACTAAGGAATGTTTTGTCAGACATCATACAAAGGAACCCTGAAAAGGTAGGTCTTTTCGGCTACAGGACTGGTCCACCTACTGTTGATGATATTATAAATCCTGCATTACCTTAAGGACCCTAGACTATGGGAATTATGGCATATTCCTTATTATGGGCAATGCAGGATTTATATCATCAACCGTAGTTAGAGAAGCCGAGCGGCAGCCTTTCTGCATGGCCCATCGCAGCAGAACCTCGCAGCAATACTGTAAGCAGACTCCAGGGGTGGTTGCGTTTAGGGGTTTAGGGGTTAGGGGTTTAGGGGTTCAATGGTTTGGGGGTTCAGGGTTTAGGGTTGTAGAGTTTTAGGGTTTAGGGTTTAGGGTTTTAGTGTTTTAGGGCTTAGGGCTTTAGGGTTTAGGGTTTGATTTTTCCCAGTGCGCCTCTTTTTCTGTAGGGTCTTAAGCTCCCTTCAACATGGAACAAAGATCCAAAGCTTAGAGTCTTTGGCTTGGTGGTTCAGGCCGCTACAACCCCTAAACTACCTAGACCCGTAGATGCAGTACCTTCTACTGGAGGACCTACTTTATGGTTAGGAGCCTATAGTAAGAACCTGAGGCAAATAAAAAAGGTACTACATTAAAGGGCCTAGGTAGGACCTAAACCCAAAACCCAACCCTAAACCCTAAACCCCAACACTAAACCCTAAACTCTTCAACATGCTCAGGCCAAGTTCGGGTTGACCCACCGGGTGGTGCTAGATCCAAGTACCTATGGGCTGTGTACCCTAGCCCAAAAAAGGATAACTAACCTTTTTCACTATGCCCTATAAAACCCTAAGGCCCTAAAACCCTAAATGCCCTAGACCACAAACCCTAAAACCCTAAACCCGAAACCCTACACCCTGAACCCTAAACGCTAACCCTAAACCCTAACCTAAACCCTAAAACCCCTAAAGCCCTGGATTATAGCAGCCCCAGAAGGCTCAAGGTTATCTACTCAGCCACTAACTACGGGAGCCTGTCTTTTGGGGTTTGTGGCTTTAGGCTGTAGAGTTTTTAGGGCTTTTTGGGGTTTTAGGGTTTTTAGAGCTTTAGGGTTTTAGAGTTTTAGGGCTTTAGGGTTTTAGGGTTTGTGGTTTAGGGCTTGAGGGTTTTAGGGTTTTAGAGTTTTAGGGTTTGTGGTTTCGGGCTTTAGGGCTTTAGGGTTTGTGGTTTAGGGCTTTAGAGTTTAGGGTTCTACGCATTACAGGGCAAGGTTTAGGTTTTAGGGCTTTGGGGTTTTAGGGTTTGTGGTTGGGGGCTTTAAGGCATTAGGGCTTTAGGGCTTTAGGGCATTAGGGCTTTAGGGTTTAGGGTTTTAGGGTTTACGGTTTTATAGGGTCTTTTAGGGCTAGGGCTTTAGGGCTTTGGGGTTTTAGGGTGTTTGGGCTTTAGGGTTTTAGGGTTTAGGGAAAGTTTAGGGTTCTACTCATTACAGTGCGCAGATTAGGGTTTAGCTTTCGGGGTTTCAGTTTCCCACAGGGCACGATGCAAACAACGAGCAGGGACATGCCAGGAACTAAAAGTTGAGGCGCGGGAATAGCACACAATCCCAGGTGGTCCCTAAACCCTAAACCTCTGACATCCTGAAGCATGAAGTCCGGGAGACCATGAACCTTTTTGGAGAGTCCCTTTGGCATAAAATACCTCTAAAGAAGCGTTATAGATGCCTGAGTCCCTAGAGTCAGGGACTGCCTATCCCAGCTCCGAGGAAAAACTCAACACATTGGCGAAAAGGCCTGGGCCCCGGTCTTGCCATGGGCCTTGGCCGCCGCTTTCACCTTGACTGGTTCTTACTAGGGAATGGAGGAATGGTTTTTGGGACTACTTTAGGGGACCTTAACGGACAATCATACCCTAAACTAAACCCTAAACCCCTAACCCCTAAACCCCTAAACCCTAAACCCCTAAACCCCAAAACCCCGAAACCCTAAACCCCTAAACCCTAAACCCCAAGAACCAGGGATCCATTCCCCCATTCCCTACTAAGAACCAAAGAGTCACCGGCGGGAAGGAGAAGAAGCTCTCGGCCTCGGCCAGGTTTCAAGGGGCGAGTTTTAGGGTTTTGGGGTTATAGGGCTTTAGAAGTTTTAGGGGCGAGTGTTGGGGATTTTAGGGTTTAGGGCTTCAGAAGTTTGAGGGTTTAGGGGTTTTTAGGGTTTTGGGGTTTAGGGCTTTAGAAGTTTTAGGGTTTAGGGTTTAGGGAGTTTAGGGTTTAGGGCTTTAGAAGCTTTAGGGTTTAGGGTTTGGGGGGTTTAGGGTGTTGGGCTTCGGGTTTGGGGTTCATACTTCTGGTTTTTGTGGCTTGACGGGTTTAGGCTTTAGGGTTTAGCGCTTTGCAATTTCTACGTAGGGTTCTGAGGGTGTGAGGCCTCGGATTGTCTTAAGGCTCTCATGGAACCTTCGAGGCTTTGAAGTTGAAGTGTGGGGCCCTCAGAATCAGAAGACGGTTTTTGCGTCCACAAAGAGAAAAAAACATGCAATAATACTGCGGGGCCCTAAAGTCCTAAAGACAAACATTTATGCCTCATAAATACTCATAAACCCGAAGCCCCACACCCCTGAACCTAAACCCCTAAACCCTAAGCCCTAAAACGTTTATGCTTTACTTGTTCAGGCTTCTATGTTAGGAAGAAGCTAAACGGTTCACAGTCGGCTTTCGACGTGGGGTCGTTGTTGAGTGTTTGACGTTTAGGGGTGTCGGGTTCAGGCTCTTGGGTCTGCAGCCTATTAGAGTTTAGGGCGAGTCTGCGACAATGTTCATGTTGGATTCGGTGTCCAAACTACAACTATGGGTGGAGAACTCAAGGCTGGCGACTTAATTGGGATGTCGGCGTTCGAAGCTTTTTTTGTTTTGGTTTGCAGGAATTGGTGTGATGATTCCTGGTTGTTTTCAGTGTGCCTGTGTCTCGTGGTAACTACTGGTTTAGGGTTTAGGGCATAGGTGTGCCTGCGTCTCGTTGTAACTACTGATCGCAGGCTTCTAATTCGAACAGCAACTACACAGGAAGAAGGAAGAGGTGGAACGACACGTGATGATGACCATCGCGGTACTGGTGATGATGATGATCTTCAGCTCTTGCTAATTTTGGTGGCCATGCGTGCTACTGCTACGGCTTTTGTTCCGTTTATTAGTTGCCATGATGCTCCCCAAAACCCTAAACACAAGCAGTTCAGGGTTTAGGGTTTAGGCCAACCGTCCGTGGTTGCGACGGCGCCTGGGACGCGTCGCCGGAGCCCAAGGAGGCATAGGCCTGCAAAACGATGCCATGCTTCTGGCAGAACTCCTCGGCAAGGGAGGCCGGATTTGTGAGGTTCTGACCAAAAAAAGGCACTATCACATGACTGTCCTCCGCTTCCATGTCTAGTCACTGGGTTAGGAAGCCCGTATAGTACGGAGTCTTCTGTTAGAGCGTACCCGCAATCCTCTCAAACTCTGGGATCAGCATAGAGCCTTTCAGTGAAGTTGGGGGTTCGGGCTCGCCAAGACACTCTGAGGCTTTGTAGGCTCTGGGGTTCAACAAGACACACTTACCCATAGGCTCCGTTCCTTGTTGGGGTTGCCTTGTAGTATGCTAAATATAAACCACAAAAAGGAACTACCACGGGGCCTATGGGTGCATGTTACACCCAGAAACACAATTCACTTTGGTTGGTTCAGCGGTTTCTTCACAAGAACCATCGATTCGTGCCGGCAGTCTTGCATCGACCGCAACCTTTTTTCAAAGCCCGGAAATATAAGAAATGAACATCGGCCACATCATGGTCGGAAATTTAGAACTGACAGCTTTTCGTAATTAGGCCCCAAAACCCTACACCCTAAACCCCAAATCCTACACCCTTAACCCCAAACCCTTGCTGCCATGTTGCCAGCAGCTCTTTCTGAACAAGTCTAGGGTGGAACTCCACCTGGTTGATCATCGGCCTCATAATCAGTCTGATGGGAAAGTCCTCACACCCTAAAACCAAATTTAGGGCATAGGGCTTGGGGAGTTTAGGGTTTAGGGCTTAACCCTAATGTAGGGTTTCGGGCTTAGGGAGTTTAGGGTTAGGATTAACGGAAACTACAGGTGGGGAGCTTAGGGTTTTGTAGGGCTTCTAAAAGGCTTCTATAAGGTATATAGACCCTCTATAATAAGGCTCCTATAACGGTAAGTACCCACCTGAAAATGTCCTAGACTGATGGGAAACTCCTCACACCCTAAACCCTAATTTAGGGTTTAGGGCTTAGGGAGTTTAGCGTTAGGGCTTAGGGTTCAACCCCTATAACCCTATGCTTTGGGTTTAGGGCTAGGGTTTCTAGGGTTAAAACCCCTAAACCCTAAAGCTAGCAATCTTGTACTTGTAGGGTTCCCGACGTCCCGAAGCCCTAAGACCTAAACCACTCTTGCTCTGGGGCCCATAAAGAGGAAGGGGGTTCTCCATAGTAGGGTCCATATAGGGTTTAGGGCTTAGTCTTACTTACGTGTCCTTGCACCAAGGAGCACATTGGGGACAAGGCTTCATCTCAGGCCCGGGCTTTATCTTGCAGGTCTTCATCAGCTGCTTCAGATGTCGCACAGAGTAGTTGGTGACGCCGATGGCCTGCCATCACTCACGCGGTCTCACGCTGCACCCTAACCTTGAAGGGCTCCTGTAGGCTTTCGGGGGGGGGGGTTAAGCAGGAACTGCGAAGCACTGCATAAACCCTAAACCCTATAAACCCTAAGGCTTCCTCTAAACCCTAGGGCCCTAACAACAAAGGGCCCAAGAAAGAGTGCACTGCACCTGTGCAAAGCAAGAGCTCGGCATCCTAGAGACTCGAACCCACATGCGAATCGCAAACCTCTTGCTGGCAATATAGGAGCCTCAATGACTATAGAAAAGGGCTTTTAACATCTAGGGTACAGTCTACTATAGTCTACCATAGATACAATAAGGATGCTTACAGAATAGCGCTATGCATTATTCTGGCCTCTGTAGCACCTCTGGCGACCGCAGAAGCACCGAACAGCGGAAAGGCACTAGTAATCAACATGACGATCGTAAAGATTCCTGTTAATCTTGCAATTTCTAATACTCGAACTCTCCACCACAAGAACCGAGCCCGAGA